CCCGCCTGGGCAACTTGGTGAGACCTCATCTCTACAATAAAAAAAAAAAAATTAGCTGGGTGTGGTGGCGCGCGCCTGTAGTTCCAGCTACTTGGAAGACTGAGGTGGAAGGATCACCATAGCCCAGCAAGTCGAGGCTAAGGTGGCCGGGAGCAGCCACTGCACTCCAGTCTGGGCGACAGAGTGAGACTCCAACTCAAAAAAATAAAATAAAATAAATAAATTTCTGTATCATGTATGGGTGGTAGTTACATGTGTAAACACGTGGAAAAAAAGTTGAACTGTATAATTAAGAATGGGGCATTTTATATATTTAACTATATGCATGATGCTGGGCATGGTGCCTCATACCTGTAATCACAGTACTTTGGAAGGCGGAGGTGAGAGGATTACCTGAGCTCACGTTCCAGACTAGCCTGAGCAACATGGTTAGACCTCTTCTCTACAGTAAACCAAAACATCAGCTGTGCATGGTGGCGCATGCCTGTGGTTCCAGCTACTTGGAAGTCTGAGGTGGAAGGATCACCTGGGTCCAACAGGTCAAGGCTGCAGTAGCCGTGAGCATGCCACTGCTCTCCAGCTTGGGTGACAGAGTGAGACTCTGACTCAAAAAAAAGTACAAATGAAAAATAAATATGTGCATGTTATACCTCAAAAATACGATTTATCACTGTCAGTTGTTTTTGAGAGGTAGCCCAAAAAGTCATGGAATTATCTTTTGGAGGTTGGGCCCCTTGTCACACACTCGGAATTTGTTAGAATAAAAAGGTCAACCAACATTTTTATCTGAAAGTTTTGAGAAAGTTCTGTCACAATTTGAGGAAGAAACCTTCTGAGTTGTGGCAAACAGGTAACTGGTTCTTCCATCATGACAACACATCTCCCTACACCACACTGATTGTTTGGCAGCAATATCCTCCCTATCACATTATCTCGCTCTAGCAACTTTTTGTGCTTCCCTGCATGAAAAAAGTCCTCAAAGTGAAATGTTTTGCCTACGTGGAAGAGGTGAAACAAAAATGGCAGAAGCACTAAAAGGCATCAAAACTGATAAGCCCAAAATCTACTTTGAGCAATGGAACACGCATCTCAATAGGTCTATTGAATCAAATGGAGAGTACTTTGAAAGTGACTAAAGTTTAAACATGTAAGAATAAATATATGATTTTTCATGAATAAACTCTAGTTTTGGGGAGTTCCCCCCTCATACGTGGATTCAATTTACTGTCTTTACCAAGAACTAGATAGTATTAAAAAGTAAAAAACATTTAACAGTTCACATGATTCAGACTTGTGTAGGGTTATACTTGTACATTTCTATTTCTTACCTTAACCTTTATTTTTAAAGACAGAGTTTTACTCTTTCACTCTGGCTGGAATGCAATAGCTTGATCATGGCTCACCGCAGTCTCAAATTCCTGGGCTCAAATGATCCTCCTGTCTCAGTCTCCTGAGTAGCTGGGACTACAGGCATATGACCGTGCCTGGCTGATTTATTTTTTGTAGAGATGAGGTCTTGCTATGTGGCCTCGGCTGTTAAACTCCTGGGCTCAAGCAATTCTCCTCTCTCGGCCTCCCAAAGTGCTGGGATTACAGGCATGAGCCAACATGCCCAGTCTACCTTAACTTTTAGTATAATTGAGAACTAGAAGTACAAGTTGTCATTAATCCTGTTTTGCAAAGATAATCAATTTGGTGTACGTTCTTTCAGATTTTTTTCTATGCAATTACTGATGTGCACTTTCACACATATTCCCGCATATATTGTAGTACTCATACAAAATTTAATAACAAGTATTTGAAGAAAATGGTTATTTGCAAACAAAGTATTTGTTTCTGATTTACAGGTATAAAGAAAGTTCTGCAGAGACACAGATTATTGGGAAGTTGTCACATGGTTACATTTCAACTTGAATTTCAGATACTGGAAATTCAGGTAAATTAAGGAGCATTTTGTAATAACACAAATACTTCTGTTGTCAGGTAAACAATTTCCACACCCCAGCCTTCGGCAGTGGCTTAGCTGAAGAGAAGTTCATAAGTCAGGACCCTCTTGTAGCACATTTGTGCAAAATCATATCATTTAAAAAATTGTTACTATAAATACCCCAGCAACTGCCTATGGTAGGGTTGTTGCTGAAGCCATAGGTGTTTTATTGTTGTACAGGTAGCAAGATGCTTCTGGGCTCCCAGTATAGGCACAGGCACATGCTACCACGCCTGGCTAATTTTTTCTTTTTTTTATTGTAGAGACAGGATCTCACCAATTTACCCAGGCTTGTCTCGAACCCCTGGACTCAGGCAGTCCTTTTGCCTCCGTCACCCAAAGTGCAGGGATTACAGGTGTGAGCCTCTGCGCCCAGCCCGAAAGCAGTTTCAACCAGTTGTTTTTGTCAACTGGGCACATAGAGCATGTGTGCAAAGATGAGGACCAGAACAGGGAAGGAAAGGCAGGCAGCTTTGGCCTCAGCTCCTCAGGTGGCTAAAGTGGGTGTAGAGTGGTTGTGAGAGCAGTCCTGATTGTCATCAGTTTTTACTGATATGCCAGCCATCTATCATTAATTATCTATTGCTTAACAAGTTTTTATAACATTTAGCATCTTTTTTTTTTTTTTTTTTTTTTTAGCATTTAGCATCTTAAAACCGCCAATAAGTACAGTCATCCCTTATTATCCGGGGGGATTGATTCCAAGACCCTGTACAATACCAAAATCTACAGATGCTCAAATCCTTTATATAAAGTGTAGTATTTGCATATAATCTATGCACATCCTTCTGTATACTTTACATCATCCCTAGATTACTTATAGTACCTAAACAATGTAAATGCTATGAAATAGTTGTTATACTGTATTGTTTAGGGAATAATGACAAGTAAAAAAGTATGTACATGTTCAGTACAGATGCAGCCATCAATTTTTTTCAGTGTTTTTTTCTGTGGTTGGTTGAATCTGTGGATGTGAAACCCATGAATATGGAGAGCTGACTGTATTTATTAATTATCTCACTCATTTTCTGTGGGTCTGGAATTTGAGAGTAGCCTAGTTGGGTATCTTCGCTCAGGGACTCTCATGAGGTTGTGGTCATTTACGACCACTGCCATCTAGATGTGGCCTTCCTGCAAGTAGTACTGGACTGCTGAGATACAACAGGGTGAAAGATACCCATAACTAAGACTTTCACATAAAATCAAGAAGCAGGAAAAAAAAAAAACAGAACGATAATATACAGCCCCATTGGCCGGAGTGGGACAGAACAGGGCTCAGACACCTTTAAAGATTGGCCCTGGGAAGAATGAGATCAGGTGCAATTTTGAGAACTGACTGAGACTGGGCACATACTATGATGGCAGAAACCATTTTCTTTTTCTTCTTCTTTTTTTAGTAAGTCTCATTCTGTTGCTCAGGCTGGAGTGCAGTGGCACACTCATGGCTACCACAGCCTTGACCTGCTGGGCTCAGGTGATCATTCCGCCTCACTCTTCCAAGTAGCTGGAACCACAGGCACGTGCTACCACGCCTGGCTAATTTTGTCTTTTATTTATTGTAGAGACAGGATCTCACCAATTTACCCAGGCATGTCTTGAACCCCTGGACTCAGGCAAGCCTCTCGCCTCCGCCTCCTAAAGTGCTGGGATTACAGGTGTGAGCCACTGCGCCCAGCCAGAAAGCAAGTTTCAACCAGTTGTTTTTGTCAACTGGGCACATAGAGCATGTGTGCAAAGATGAGGAACAGAACAGGGAAGGACAGGCAGGCAGCTTTGGCCTCAGCTCCTCAGGTGGCTAAAGTGGGTGTAGGGTAGCTGTCACAGCCAAGTCCTATGGATAAGCCACCTATTTGTGTCGAGTCACATGCCAAGATTCTGTATCCTTGTCATTAGTGTCCTTAACCACAGACACTGCCCTGGATTGTTCCATTTTGTATGAGACAGCAGTTGGTTGTGGAGTCAGGATCTTACCTCCCTATGTGTCAGATAGCCAACCCCTAACGAGTCTCAAGGACTGGGTCCAGTTGTCTGGGTTTGGAGGTTTTCTTCTCTTGCAGTCCTAGTCTTCATTTGCTACCACCATTCCTGACTGGCTGAGGATGGGCTAGGGGATGTCTGTACCCCCATTCAGTGACAGAGCTTCCCGGCTTGTACTCACCTCCTGAAACTTCAACACTGTCAAGGTGACCACGACAATAGAGTGTGACATTGCCAAGGTCCATTATGCAGGATACAACACACATTTCAGCATGTTTGTGTGTCAGGGACGTGGGTGATGAGTGGCCCGGGCAGTTACATTGTTCCCAGGTGGGCACCAGACCTTGAAACTACCCAAAGTTACCAAGGTGATGTTCCCAGGTGGGCACCAGACCTTGAAGCTAACCCAAGGTTACCACAGAGACCATCTGCTGAAGACTGAAACAGAGCTTGGACTAAGTGGATTGGTATCATTTGGGCTGGACAACCTATGCCAGGAGCTCAGGCTTTTCATTTGGGTGGGCCAGGGACTCCTGGGTGTTGTCCCATTGTAGAAAGTTGCATACTCTGACTAACTACATGTTATTTCTTTGTGGTACCTGTGACCCTGACCTCAGAGTAGTGACATACCAAATGCTTTTCTACATGCTGGCATCCACTAGTTGGCCAGGCCTGCTACTCATGACATGTTGATGGAACCATAAGTTTTAGTTCCATTTCAGTGAATATCTGCACTCTAATATTTATATCTAGGAAACGGTCCAGGGGCATCCTAGCAGCCTTCGGGTCTTTCAGGCTTTTTCTGCTGTAGGTCTTCATCTTTTTCATAGTTGCTCCATGGGCGATGTGGAGAGAAGCTAGCCTGTAAACGGAATTAGTTTCGTCCTTGAGAGGCTTGTCCACACATCCAGCTGAAAAGGGAAAGACTGTCCTCCTACATTGCAATGAATGAGCTGCTCAGTGAAGTTGCACTTTCCAGGGATGATGTGCCCAGATTGGTTGGTGTGCTCATTAGTGGGACTGTGGCATGAGAGAACATAGACTGCAATATTTTAACTTCACTTTAGGGGGCATACTTTAGTCACCTTAAGCCTCTGATGGAAAGTATCAAATAGTGCTTTGACTTCCTGAGTCAGATGATGATGAGATCGTGACTTAGAGGACATTTTTGATAATATGACATGCCCGTGAAGAATAGCTGCTTCCTCTCCAAAGGTGTGGACTCTCGTTGGTCCCCCGGCTTTTGCATTGGTTTAACCTGCTGGCCCTGGATGGCCGCTCTGAGACAGTACAGACAGGACCCAAGTCAGCGAGAGCAAGAAGTGGCTGCCCTGCCGCTCAAGTCCTGGCACCCCTGCTGTAGTAGCCACAAACCCTGCCTCCTATGAGGTATGGTGGCACTGGCCCAGACCTCAACAACATATTTTGAGCTAATATTCTGATCCCTGTACCACCAAAGCACGATTGAAAGTTTTGTGATCAGTTAGTAATGGCCTGATGTTATACTATTCACTCACGTGCTGAATGAATTAGAATTAGTTGAGCTGTTCCTGACAGAAAACTTAAAAAAAAAAGTGGTTTAAAGTATTAGAAATATGTTTCTCTGCTACTTAAATAAAATTGGAAGGTAAGTTTTCAAAGGCTAGCATGGTGACTTTATGATAATAATCAAGCTCTGCCATCAGTTGTACATAACTTCCAAATTATGATATGATTATCACTTTAACATTTTGGGCATCAGGAAGGGGTTGGGCAAACAAAAGCTTGCCTTTTATTTTGAAGGACGCTTTGTCTGAAAGTTGTGCACCCATTATTTGTACTTACATTCTGCTGGCCAATAAATTAGTGCAAAGGATGCTGGGTTTTAGTCTTACTTATGGATGGCCATGTGGCCAGTGAAAAACTGGGACCAGAAAAAGGTATAAATATTGGGGATTAGTGGCAGTTTCTGTCCTGCATGCTTCAGGGGATGCAGGGGGGGAAAAAAATCTAAGGAACGAAACTGTTGAAACTCTTTCAGAGACATAGAATATAGTAATTACTAATTCTCTAAAGAGATGTGAGTTGGCCAGGTTCGGTGGCTTGCTCCTGTAATCCTAGCACTTTGGGAGGCAGAGGTGAGAGGATTGCCCGAGCCTAGGGGTTTGAGCCCTGGACAACTTCACGAGACCATGTCTCTACAATAAATCAAGAAAAATTAGGCAGGTATGGTGGCACATGCCTGTTGTTCCAGCTACTTGGAAGGCCGAGGTGGAAGGATCGCCTGAACCCAGCGTGTCGAGGCTGCAGTAGCCGTGAACATGCCACTATACTCCAGCCTGGGTAACAGTGAGACTCCGACTCCAAAAAAAAAAGAAAAAAGAGAGACATGAGTTTTCATTGTTCACATTTAAAAGTATGTAGGTGTTTTGGCACTGCTTTGTTTCATTGTCAGTGTGCTACAAAAAACAACATGCTTTCCCTGGCTGTGTTAAGAACTTTTGATTTCTCTCTGAGCCTTTTTAAAGTTCTATGATTCAGCCGGGCTCAGTGGCTCAGCCTGTAATCCTGCGTCTTTGGGAGGCTGAGGTGAGTGGATTGCCTGAGCCCGCGGGTTCGAGACCCGCCTGGGCAACTTGGCGAGACCTCATCTCTACAATAAATCAAAAAATCAACTGGGCGTGGTAGCGCATGCCTGTAATTCTGGCTGCTTGGAAAGCTGAGGCAGAAGGATCACCAGAGCCCAGCAAGTCGAGGTTGCAGTGGCTGGGAGCAGCCACTGCACTCCAGTCTGGGCGACAGAGTGAGACTCCAACTCAAAAAAAAAAAAAAAATTTATGATTCTTCACAAAGACCAGATGAGTAAATAAGATGCTGGAAGCAATCATAGACAGCTCTGGAAGAGAAAGAACAAAGGACTATTTTATTTTCCTTTGTTGCTAGAATTCTTATGTAATGGGATGATGAGAATTATTTTTTAATTTTTATTATTT